ACAAACATAAAGGTGCCTGTATCTCCAAACTTTACAATGAAACGTGGGGTTTTGAATAGAGCAATGTGCTCGGCTTGGCCAACAGCACCTTGGGTGAAAGTTTCGCGTTCAATGTCGCAACTAGCCCAAAAAATATTTTTTGGTCGTCGTCGTCGAAGAGGTCGACCCCCAGATCCAGTTTGGCTGGTGGCAACATTGCGAAATCTGGGATTGGCAAGCTTGATCGTGAAACTTGCACCCAAGGTGCTGTTGGCCAAGCCGAGCACATTGCTCTAATAAAAACTCCACGTTTGATTGTAAAGTTTAGAGATTCACGCGTCTTTATGTTTTTACCTATGCTGTAAGCGTGATGGAGTTGCTTTTTCCTAGTGGATGGTGTCGGCTGCATTAACGGAAAGATGAAGAGCTGAGTGAAACCGCACGTGGTGGTTACACAGAAACGTCCTTGACAGGTTGCTACACAAATGGATGATGATGATGATGATTACCTTTTATGAAGGTACGTAAGTAAACAGCATCCAACCATGAAGGTGTGTCAAGGTATGCATCACATTTGCATGTAGAAGAAAGTCGAGCTGCATAAACCAATCTGTATATGTAAAAAGATACATATACATATTGAATGGGTCACTCATCCTGAAACTCAATGGAGGGATCTCTTCACTTTTTCTCTTCTCAAGCTCATCCCACTTCCCACTCCTCCTTATTGTATCACAAAAGCCATGTACTTCTTGCATGACCGATAACCGGACCACCTTTATTATTCCATCTTCGAAGCAGTAGTATGTAATCCACAAGCTAGCAACCTCCAACAAGCGTGTAATAAATAAACAATACTTTATTTCATCTAGCTATCTTGCTATGTACTGTACATTGCCACCACCATCGTCGTAGTCGTCCTCCGTCATCATTCGTATTCGTACTCGTACTCGTCACCAGTCGTCAATCTCATCCGTCACACCAACATCCAAAAACTCACAAGTTGAAAAGAATGGGATCTTGCAGGCTTCCTTTTGAATCTCGTTGTCGTTATCATTGCCATTGTAGTAGATGGGGTGATCATTGTAATCGTCATTGTTGTGAATGTGGTAATCATCGTAATCGTCGTCTCTACAAATAAGAAAGCAGGCAAGTTAGACCATCTGGTACCGCAATGATGACGATTTGGTATACCGTTAGGCGATCCTCTCAAAGGAAGAAAGCAAATCAGAAGGAATTCACAAACCAAATCACCACCATACGAGCAACGTCGGGCGATCCCTTGTTCTTGAGAAAGCACTGTACGAATCACGCAAGGTCAGTTCGATCCATGGCAAGGAAGGACATCACTTACGTAGAGTCCAGGCTCATAGTCGTCCTCATTCATCCTCTCCAAAGGAAGAATGATCCCCAATCCTTCCAATCATTTTCCCACCACATGAAAAGAAATCCTCAAGGGAAAGAACGTGGCTGTCACGAGAAGACCGTGTTGGTTAAACACATTCACAAGCTGTTGCAAATCCCCTTTTACCTCAACACGGTGACCATGCTCTTCCAAAACCCCATCATCATCGACCCATCAACTCAAACGCAGGCCTATAGAGCCCTGGACGCGTTCCATACTTGATACAGGCTGGGACTTGAACCCAAAGATATGATGATGATGCCCCAAGTTGCGTTGCCTGATCAAAGAAACCTATTCAATTCATTATTAGCACACACACAATAAACACCCTTTTCATTGTTTGTTTCATTGTACTTGCCTTTCCATATACACAAAGACCCGTTGTTGTTGGTTACTGGAAACCCAAAAATCATGGTGTAGTATAGTTGAGCCGAAACAAAACGCCAAACCAGCCAACGTCTTGAAACCAAACTTGCCCTCTATACAAGCTGACGCGTCAATAGAACCAATTCGGCTGCAACATTGGACTCTGAATGTACCTGTTGACACCAAGCGTAGAGCGGGAATAGCAACGAACAAGAGGAAGCAACGATATCGCCATGGCAACCACCAACCACCCACCACGCTCATCTTCAGCTAACTCCCTGACAATGCATGTTCAGAACTACATTATACCTCACAGCCAACAAGAGCACTCTTTGATAATACATTACCTTGATTGGGATGTCGTGAATAGGATAAAAGTAGAGGAGGGAGAAAGAGAAGAGAAGCGTTGTCTCAAGTCGTGAAGCTACCGTCCCCAAGTTTAAATCCCCTACTGCTATTGGACTGAGGCCACTCAATGACCCCACATACACACAACCCACCCATCATGATCATCACCCTCACGATAGACAATAGGTACACGTATATAAAAGAAATGACCCTCACGTATAGCAAAAGGGTGTGTGCCATTTTACACTTTACATGATAATGATGATCCAACAACAGCCGTTGGCTTACTACCAGGTTAGCTCAAATCAAGAAAGTTGAAGGATAGACATGATGTGCTGGAGCAGGACAATCGTTCGTATGCATTGGATTGGGCAACAAAGGTGAATGGGTGGAATGGGCTATTAGCTGGCAGTTTACAAATAACTTTGCAAAATGATTTTTGTGAAATTGGATGATGTTTTGTGTTTGAGCGTAACTCAACCAAATCCTCTCGGATCAAGAAAGTTGAATGATGGAGATGTTGGGTTGGAGCAGGACAACCGTTCACATGCATTGGATTGGGCAACAAAGATGATTGGGAGGAATGGACTATCAACCAGCAGTTTACAAATAACTCACCAAATTGATTTTTCTGATGTTGGATGATGTTTCTGTGTTTGAGCGTTTTTCAGTCAAATCCCCTCGGATCAAGAAAGTTGAATGATGGAGATGATGGGCGGGAGCAGTGGAATCGTTCGTATGTAATGGATGTCATTAGACACCAATAAGCATTTCAAGTGGCAGTAAAGCAATGATGTGAGCTACATAGAGGAATGCATGGTACCCTCATTTTGGGGATCACATAATAAATACTATCCTTGAGACTTACCAAAGGTCATTGATGATGATATGCATACAAGTAGAAAGAAGGACGTATGACCGTGTTACATAGTGACAACAGCCTTCATGTTTAAAGGATAACAATGAATCACGATGTATACTGATGGTGTAACCAACCAAAGTGATAGTATTATAAAGAGCATAATGGTATATCCCTTCTCATATACAGGGTGATGACAATGAATACTAAGTGTTGAGGATGATGCATGAATGGATAAAGTGATCATGTCCTTTATCAAGGGATCGGACTTGTGCACACGCGCGTGAATGTCGCACACGCGCCTGCCAGTAATTTTTTGGGACCTTTTGTCTATCTCCTCCTTTACACCAATGGCACCGACATCAGCAGAAGTTCGCAAACAGAATGCCATCAACAACCTTTCAACCTCGGTTCCACAGATATTCAACGACGCACAAAAGCCAAATGCAACACAGCGAAAGCATGCAGTAGCGCTACGCAAGATCCAAGAGCAGTGTGCCTTGAATTCACCAGCCAGGAAAGGTCACCCTCATGACATCGACCCTGAAGGCGAGGGCAAGTTCAACGCTGAAGTCATTCGCAACATTAACAAGATTCTGAACGTTCGTAAACGTGAGCCACACGCCGATCGTATTGTACGCTTTATTGCTACCTTCATGCAGTACACACAACAACTAGGTGCGTTCTCTTTTCCTATGATCCACGCACGACACGAGACTTATGCTATTGACAACATCTAGATACCACCGAGGATAGCGACGAGGATGATGAGCAAGATGAGGATGATAATGAGAATGAAGAAAACGAGTATCTATCAGCTCGATTTGTGGAGCATCTCTTACGGCATTTACTACGTGGCACGCAAGCCAAGCATAAACCTGTGCGTTTACGGTGTTGTCAAATCATTGCTCTTAGTATCAACTCGCTCGGTGAAATTGAGTAAGCAACATTCATTTCGTGGCATTCTTCTTGGTATTGACCTATTACCATAGTGAGGAGCTCTATCAACAATTGAGATCGGCATTGTTTGGAAGAATCAGAGATAAGGAAGCATCCGTTCGCATTCAAGCAGCCACCGCTCTTTCCCGATTACAGAGTGCCGACGACGAAGTCGATCCAAAGGATGGTCGTAACATTGCTGGCAAACTATTGTGGTTACTTCAACATGATCCTAGCGCGTACGTATTATTTGGGTTCTGGATGAAAAATGATGGAAGGTTGACATGTTGGATAGTGAAGTTCGACGCGTCGTATTGTTCAACCTTGACAAAACTGATGAGACCATACCATACATCCTCGAACGTGCACGTGATATTGACGGCATCAATCGTCGAGTTGTTTTCTTGAAGCCCATGGCAGAGATCGATGATTTCAGAACACTCACACTTCAACAAAGGAATGATTTACTCAAATGGGGTCTCAATGACAGGTATGTTTATCCGATTCAGGTATGAGTATGGGGTTGCTGATAGCTTGTTATTGTCTATAGAGATCGGCTTGTCAGACGTGCTGCCAGCAGAATGCTAGCTAATCATTGGATTCGTCATGCGGACAACAATCTCTTGGAGGTAAGCATAGGGGTATGGACATCGTGTCGATCATCATATTGATTCATGGCAATGCTAGTTTTTGGAGCGGTTGGATGTTGTTGACAGCCCCATTGCGGATGATGTTCTCACGGCTTTCTTGAATGCACGCACCGATATTGTCAACTCGATCAAATTTGAAGGTACGTACGATGATGAGAATGGGAGATTCTACTCTTGTGATATTGATGGCCATTTGATACCACATAGAGCAATTCTGGGAGAACTTATCAACAGAGAGCGCATTCATGGCTAAGGTGTTTATCAAGTTTCTTAAATCACAAAAGGTCGGTCATTTGAAGAGGGGGATGATATTGGGTAGTAGAGCTGCATGATCCTAATCGGTAGTATGCACCTTCTAGATGGAAGAGAAATTGGATGAGATCCTTCCGGAAGTGACACGCCACGCTTTTTCAATACAAAATTGCTGGGATATACGCAAGAGTGCCGACGACGATATGCAAACCGACTACGATTTTATCATTGTGCAGCTGTTGGAAATTGCAAAATGTCTTGATTATGCTGATGAAGTTGGCAGGCGGAAAATGTTTGTGCTACTCCGTAAGTTCCACATGCTAGCGTATTGGATCCTGATATGAGAGCTAAACATATCCTATAGGTGAAATGTTGATGGATCAGCACTTACATGATGAATACGTGCCAATCATTGTGGAGCTCTTTAAGATTATCTCCCCAGATGAGCGTGATTTTACACGGTAAGGATATCAACGCAATCATCTTGGATACGCTTGTTAATGGTATGTGTGTGTGTAGGGTAATGATTGAGATTATTTCAGATATACAAGAGCTTTCTATGCCGGATACGGGTCACATTGAGGTACATGATGCCATTCTTAAATGGGGGATTCTTCTTGGCTAACAAGGTATGTATAGGAGGCAAGCACACCATCGAAGAGGGCCCGTCTCGGTAGCGATAATGGCGAGCACATACGGATAAAATCAGAAGATGAGGAGCCAGCAGATACCGAAAGCCGATTATTGAAAGGAATGTTGCTTCATCTCAAATGCTTGACCATTTGCCGACACATGCTTGAATTATCGGAGGAGGTAAATAGAGAGAGGGGTGGATCGATGGCATTACCATTTGAAGCCTAATGTCCACTGTAGTCGCTGCAAAACAATTCAACGCTCTATGGTATCTTGAACGAATTGATTGTGCCTTCTGTACAAAGCAAGGAAGTCGTTCTTCGTGAAGAGGGATTGCATTGCCTTGGTCTTGCTTGTGCTCTTGATAAGGTTAGTTCCTGATTGGCAGGCATGGATGCCATGAATACTCATATAGGATTGCTTCAGAATCTCGGCCACCATAATATACCTCTGTTTGTGCATTGTCTCAAGAACGGACACGAGCAACTTCAACAAAAGGCATTGATGGTACGTGACGTTGATCCATGGCTTCCTATAAATCTAAATTGCTATCACCTTAGATTATCTTTGATATGATCATGATCTATGGCTTGCCATCTTTTCTCGAAAAGCTGGAATCGGTAAGTGTCTCACTTTCAGTCATCCAACTCGATCCACTGATTCGCTCTTTTAGGAGGAGGCTCTTGATCAACTCTTTGAGTATTGCTTAGACCATGACAGTGTGGAAGTGCAAGGAATCGCAGTGGAAGGTTTATCAAAGCTTATGTTGACACGCTCATTCAAGAGCGAAGCAGTAAGTATGATTTGGTCACATCGAAACCTCAGTATCCAACTTTGCTTTTGGTAGATCCTCAAACTCCTTGTGGTGCTCTATTTCTTCCCAACTACGATTGATGACAACAAAATCCAGCAATGTCTTAGCTACTTTTTCCCTGCTTACTGCTACTCATCACATGAAAACCAGCACGTGATGGTCAAGGTACTGGATTGTGTATTTAGGGAGATTTCATTATCACTGACCAGGGATTTATTCTAGATTGCTATCAAGGCATTGATGGAATTATGCGATACATATGCTGATTTGGAGAAAGATGAACGCATGGTGAACCCTGCCCAGATTTCAGATATGCTGGCGGATTGGACCGATCCTCGAAGAATTGCATTGTACGTCTAAAAGTGACAAGGGAGGGGAATGGAAAGTCTAATCATGGTTACAATAGGAGCAAAATCAAATTGGCTGATGAGAACCAGGTCGATCATGATGCACATGCGGATGTTGCTATTGACGCTTTGGAATCCATTGTGAAGCATGGTGGCTGTAAGTAGATGGGATCATGTATGTATATGCACCAAAAATCTTACCCGATCTTTTCTTTTATAGTGGTACGCAAAACGATGGTGCATTTGTTAGGCAAACTTCATTTGGCTGATGCAAGCGATGAACGACTCAAAGCAATCCATCAACTGATTGAGCATATTAACAAGGTAAGTAAAGCGGGCATGTGCAATAGGAAAACAGCTGTGATGCCTAACGTCATTATCCCCCAACAATTTAGGAGAAGCCATTGAAAGAAACAGCTGTTGTGCGCAATGCCTGGGCCAGGTTCTGCAAATCGGTTGAGACGATTATTAGCAAATCTAACAACGACAATAACGACGATGACAACAATAATGACGATGACAGAGCCACCACCGAATCAGCAGCTGGCGAGAATATCGAGGAATCTTGTAGGCAATCCACAACCAGCACTGATTCAGGAGCTGCTGAAAGTATCGAGACACCTTTACCTTCTTCTTCCAGTGTCGATGATGAGCCAGTAAATAAATAGCATTTTACATGTTTTGTACATACTCCTTGCGGAAGCAGTGATATTGTTAATTGTCATGGTTACTTACACACTTGGCAACAGTGGTCGTTGTTCATGAGTTGCAATCTCCCATCATCATCTATGAAGCGAGCTCCTTATGACTATTGTTTGGTAACATACAGCAACAGCAATTTACGATACTGATGATGATCAACATGCACAGACCGCATCAACAGACCAAAGAACAATGGCAAGTATTGAAGATCATGAGAGAAAAACCAGAAAATGCCCCTAAAGAGGAGAGCAGAATAATGAGGAGATGTTAACCGTGCACACCACAGACAAAACATCAGCTTGTGAATACGAGGATCCTGCACCATTACTAGATGAGGATAACAATGGTCGATGCTGATAACCAAACTTGTAATAGGTGCTTCTCCTTTGAATGTACAAGACAATGACTTATAGATACGATCATTTTATGCAGTGGATGTATGTATCTAAAGTGGAGATAAATAAAATGGGGGTGTTGAAATCAATCCTTACAATGAATATCAGTGTTGTTGTATTGTACATAGCCACGACACAAAGTTGCTCATTACCACGCACGTTAGTCTAGCAACAGCTCGTGATAAAAAGATTGTGTATCTTTTTTTTAGCTCCCAAAGGCGACGATCTCTCCTGTACGAGCCACGTTGATGGATTACGAATACAAAGAACGGAAGAAAATAAAAAGACAAAGAAAATAGGAGGCAAGGTACAAGTGCGCTGAGGAGTAAAACAGAATGAGCTTCACATTTGGGGGAGGATTGAATACTATATAAACAGGGGATGGATATGGAACACGCGCATTCGAGCATTCATTTTGACACACCATGAAACGTTTCTTTCTTACACTTAGCGTGGCAACCATCCTATTACTTGGTTCTGTTATCGCCGATGAACCATGCCCAGTAGTTGAGCAGGATGGCAAATGCAACTATTGCTCCACTCCACCTGACGGCAACAATCAATGTCCACCCAATAATGACTTGACCACTGTTGGCGATGGCAGTAAGTTTTTATATACCTTCATCCATTATGCTATCATTTTTATTTACAAAAAGCGTATGTAGGCCCTTGTTGCGTACCCAAACCACCCTCATCCGATGCAACAGCCAACGCAAATGCAAATGCTCAAGGCGGCGGCAACGCCCAAGCCAACGCTAACGCTAACGCTCAAGGTGGTGGTACAGCTGTTGCCAATGCCAACGCCCAATCTGGGGGACAATAATCGATATACGAAATACATACTTCAACCAAAAACGGCTCTCTTGTGTGTAGCAGCAACCCAACTACTACATGAATTGCATTTCTTTGTCCTCATCCACCTTTCACTCACTACAAACGAGGCTTTAATCACCCTTCCTTTATGTTATCATACTACGAGTGATTGTGTGCGTGCGTGCGTGCGTGTGTGTGTTTGAAATTGCTAGCCTGCCTATTCTTTGTGTAATTTTAGATTCAATACAAATGATGTTACTATGGGAGCTTAATCATCGGTTGGCTCAAAGAGTGCTTTTTTTGAAAGTTTCGATGTCTTTCGCAACATGCTGCATAATCTCAGGAGGAATGCATTTCCGACATACATTCACCGCCATGGTTTACCAAACTACAGAATTTCTATGACGGCAGCAGCAGTAGCCATCATGATTCTAGACTCATTAATCCTCGTAACAAGGGCAACCATTGTGGTAGTCACTCCCACATCCTGGTGCTCCTTTTCATGCATCCATCATCATCCATAGCCGTAAGTGAATAATGTATCATCTTTAGTTTACCCAGCGGCAGTTACCCCCGTCTTTTTCCCTCCTCTCCCCGCTTTTGTATATTGTGCACGGCAGACACATACCACTATTGGCGCAAGAAAGGCGGAGGTAAAGATTGCTGGTTGTATATAGAGAAGCTTCAGATAAGGGGTATTGTACATGATGGTGATGAAAGAGATGTTTTACGTGTGGTGTGGTGTATGTGAACACAACCCACCCCTTAGCTCCCCTACCTGTAAAACCATTTGGTCTCAACTATAAAAGACTAATGATCAGGAGTACAGGACCCGTAAAAAGTATAAGCTCGAAAGAAGAAAACCGCCATCAACATGGTCAAACAACAATCTTGGTTCTCCTTGGCTATCCTTGCGTGTTATTTACTTGCTGGTGTAGTGGCAGATTGCGATACACCTCCGCATAAAGGCAAATGCGCCAAAGGGATGGATCTCGTTGATCTTGGCAGTGGATGTAGGTATCACAATGAAAATGATCCAACATGACTATTAACTAACATCATTTTCTTAGACAAATGCTGTGAGCAAATCTGCCCAAGTCCTCCAAAAGGCAAGAAGTGTCCAGACAAACAAAAGCTAAAGAGCATTGGCCCTGAAGGAAATAAAGGTACAACAATTCGTCTTTGTTCAATCATATGAAATGTCCAATTGCTAACTACTGCTACTATATGCTATGTAGTGCCATGCTGTATCGATCCTAGCCATAACTACAAGTACGATAGCTAATACCAGTGTCATCTAATAAACCCGTATAACACCTTAGTAAGCGTGGATTGTGTGTCACCCAAACATAATTTCTTTGTTCCTTCCCTTTGTCCTTGAACCATGACAGCTTCTTCCTTGACAGCCGCATGTTGTATTATTGGCGATGAGATCCTCAATGGCAAGACGCAAGACACCAATTCACGGTACCTTGGTAAATACGAATACGAAACTGTGTTGTGCATTATGAGCTATTGACATGTCGACGACGACGACGACGACCCATGCAGCCAAGTTCCTCTTTCAAATGGGCATTGAGTTGAAGCGCATTGAAGTAGTTGGGGATGATGCCGAAGCGATTGAGAGCACGGTACGGAGACTATCGAGTATGCACGACTTTGTATTTACGAGTGGTGGCATAGGTAAAGAAAAGCAAGGGGAAGGGGTGTGTGTGTGTGTGCATTGCATGATGATAGCTAAGAGATGAAAGGACAAGAGGTGTGACCCATGATGATATCTCGTATGGTGCGATTGCTCAAGCCTATCAATTGGAGCTACGATTGGATCCTGATACGCATCAACGTGTACAAGCGATGCTCGACAAGCGCAATGTCAAGAATCGACAAGGATACGAACGACTAGCTACATTCCCTTATCCAGCACAACTCTTAAGGCCCAAGCAACAATTCCTGATCCCTATCGTCATTGTAAACAGCAACATTTATATCCTTCCAGGCATACCACGTCTATTTGAATTGCTAGTCGACTCACTTGAAGATCATTTGCAAAGGATCATCAATCAGCAACAGCGATCTGTTGGAGGAGGATTTCATCGGATGGAGGTGGCTACCAAGGCAACCGAAGGAGCTATTGCACAAACACTGGCAAGGATTCAGGCACGAGTAACAAAAGATGGGCTCAAGATTGGAAGCTATCCGGTATGGGGTGATCCCAATGTCAATGTGGTGGTCAGCGTTGTAGGCAAAGACGAAAAGGCGGTTCAAGGCATTGCCAAAGAGATTGCCAAGGAGATTGATGGATGGGAACACCACGCAATAGCACGACTTTAGTAGTGTATTATGGCTTGATGTGAAATAAAGTACGTAGAATGATACCATCAAAGTGTCATTGTGCAATGTCGGATCTGGTCGGTGATGGGATGTTGCATTGCAGCTGTATATCGGAGACAGGAAAGCAATATATGCGAGCGCGCGCTCTCTCTCTCCCTCCTCACATTTAGGTCACTTTATTCTTTTTTATTCTCACTATACTTTTTTATATACTTCTATTCCCCCACTTTCGGTTCACAATGAGGCCACTCGAACGTCATTACCAACCCATTCGACCGTCAAATCGACAACCCCATGACTCAATACGCTGGTTTGTCGTGGGTGCACACCAAGCAGGCTGTAGTCCTGCTCGAATATCCGACATGACCTACTTGAGTGAGAGTGCTGTTCGCAACATTATACGCAACTTTCAACATACCGGATCACCGTCATTACGACGACTTCCAAACCCTGGTAACCAAGGACGAGTGTTATGAGAAAAGATAGATATTGACACACCTATATATTAGGGACTCGAATACCTGGTTTAATCACTGCCGACGATGTTGTACAGCATGTATTGCAACAAGCACAAGAACAGAGCCTTGAAGAGGTAAGAGCAAGAGGAGCGTATACGTCAAGGTCGATGGATGGATCCAAGGAAATGGTTGGGAGTGAGCTTGACATTCAACAAGCGTACATGTTTATCTCTCACCAGCAGCACCATTGGACACAAGAAGATGATCGTGTCTTGTTGGAGTTCGTGTTGGACCGAGTCAATGGCAGTCGCTGGGGTGAGCATCGATGGGAACAACTATCTTCCACTCTACAAGCAAGACACTCTGCTCGAGAATGCGAGGAACGATGGGATAAACTAAGACCCATTCTTTTGGGGGCAATGAGTATCTCTGGTACCCAAGGATGGTAGCTTGGCAACGATACATAGCGCTTCCATGATGATGATCTCCCTGCTCTCTATCTCTCTATCTCTCTTTTTTACCTCTCTCTTTTGCTGTGTATGTATTATCTCCATGTCTCAAAATTAAATATTCGCTTTCTTTTACTGTTGTTCGTTTTCGGAAATCAACTTTTTTTGTAGCACATGTCAACGGACCAGTGGGGTTCTTTTTTATTGTGCAGAAAAAATCTACCCATGTGATCACAGCAAGAATGGCGGCCCATCATGTTATCACTCATCAATGATCGCTATGCATAATGTACCATTGTGTACAGCATCATAACCTAAATACAATACAATACAACCCCACCACCCCCATTATGCAACCCACGATATCAAACTTCGATTGACAGTGATAACCAGTCAAGATCCAATCCTTTACACACGTGAACTACTTTTAAATGTGTCTCTATTTGTTTGTTACCATTGGGTCGTTGTTGAATGAAAGAACCGACAAAGAGAATTCTTGTACAACATGCATTTGCATAGCATGGGTGTCCGATTGATGCCCTTTGTCTATGTACTACTTACTCCATTGTTTAAGATAAAGTGGAATGATGATGATCCATTGCAGATACAACATGGTCATTTGCCATATACATAAGGACCCTTTCACTCATTCACTCACACATACACCGGCCCGACCCGACAACATTTAGGCATCACCCTCAGCAACTTGTGATGCAACATGCGGTGCCACATCATATGGATGTATATTATAAAATGCACATAATGACTTTTTATATACAAAGAGGGGGCTCATATGGAAGATGCAAGAACAGGAGTGGTTGTTGTTGTACTAGTGGTAGTGGTCGTAGTGTTATTAGCTTGACCACCACCAACGCGTGGAGGTGAATAAGCTGGGGGTGGAGGATCAAGCATCATATGGTAATGACACCACATTGAGGTTGTATCAGTATGAGTAGTAGTCGTGGTTGTGGTTGTGGATGCATGATAGGATTCTGAGAAACAAGATTGCTGCTGTTCTTGTACATGAAGTAATTCTTTGGCAGAAGGAGCTGACGGAGCCATAGCCGCCCCTGCTGCTCGTATAATTTCATCCTCATCAACTCGTCCAACACCATCTTCCTCATCATCATTGATGCTCCCGCAGTATTGTTGTTGTTGTTGCTGCTGATCATTGGATACATCAACAATCACCATGGATCGGCTTTTAGCGGCATGGTTGTTATGGTATAGACTGCTCTCTTCATCGTCTATCGTTGTCATGGATGAGGCTGTAGAATGATGGTGGTGTCGTTGTTGCTTTTTTTGCTGTCTTCTTGACGAGCAACATTGCCAATACAAGTAGATACCGAATCCAAGGATAAAGGCAAGCACCAGGCCGCCTGTTAATGATAATACCACCACCAGGGTGCGTAATTGTGTTTCATCACTATGAATCGATCGTAATACTGTTGTCATGTCGGGTGACTCGGCCGCAACCGTGGTAGACTCATCATCGTTCTCACTCATCTACAAGCATGAAAGCAAGCAAAAAAGTAAAGAAAAAAAAAGAAAAGAAGATGCTGCTGCTGTTGCTGCTGCTGCATCGTAAATGTTGAGTCATATCATTTTAGGAAACAAAAAAAAGCAAGGAACCGTTGGCTCCTTAATTTTGCATGGACTGTGTGTAAAGCAAACTCTCATCTCTAAATATATACGGCAAAGAGAGAGATGATCGAGGGGTTGGAAGGACAGCCAGCAGCAGTTGCAAGATATTTGGCAGCTCCCCCCAATTTTACACTTGTTGGTCACGCAGAGAATTTCCTGTAGCCTCCCCTTTCAGCGTGTAGAAGACAAAGAAAACCATCATTGATCACTATGCGTGTAAAGCAATCATCTTTGTCATCTTTTATTCGATAATGACAGGCCTTTAGGATATTGTACATCGAGGGAGTGTGAAAGCAACGTGAACAGATCCAACCATTTTGGGGGGTTGGAGAAGGAAAGGGAGGAAAGAAACAATAACGAATGGCTATCAGCGTAAAACAAGACACCTTTTATAAATGGAAATGACTGAAAAGGTGTTGAGCACATCACAACCACGAATTGGGAAAAGGAATAACATGGTGGTTGTTGTTGGGTGAGAAATTCGGGAATCTTGTGAATGGATGCTGCTGGAATGATAGAGTGCAGAAATTGACGACCATTAAACAATGAAAGGGTACAAGTAGAATAATGGTGGCATCCTCGAAACTGCCGAAAAGAGCCTTCGAATCACCTTATAGTAACCGAATCCCCATATCAAGTTCACCTTTGTTTACCTTTGCTATTCACTACTACATGGATGCCTCCCATGTATACCAAGGAGTAGCATCCATTGGGAGTTGACAATCTATAGTACATTCCATCATAGTGATTTGCGAGGAGGTACATATGGTGATGATGCATGGAGCGAGGAGATGAGATCCAAGCGTGGAAAGTTGACAACAGTATCCCTCGTCACAAAAGGGCAGTTATGCGTGGCATCTATTAGAAAACTAACAACGTGGATTAGCGAGACAGCTTCAAAGATCACGTTGGGCAATCGTTTCCATTGATGAAAGCGAGTTCAAGAACCTCTGATGCTTGCCTTTTCTTATTTTTCCCCACATCAAGTAGAAGGCAATGGGCATTAAGCGTGGAGAAGAATAATGTGATGGGTTGTTGCTTACAAGAGCATACACACGTAACATTTAGAAGAGTAACACATAACGTTTAACAGCTTGATGCATTCATAGGTGTTGCTATGGCAATATTAAACGTGGAAGAGTATGTAGGTGAATGAAGCTTGGTTTATTCTACTACCGAGAAAAACCACTGCTCTCTATATCTTGGATACAAGAATACGTTCAAAGATCATAATAGTCGAGATGGGATCCGGATGTAAAGTTGTTTGTGTAGAGTAAATCCGCCAACTTTTGAGCTGTTTCATCCATGTTGACCAACTTGTTCTATGATTCTTTGTTTAGAGTTTACGTCGTTGAAGGGGGAGGACGATTACAGTACTTACCTCCTTTGCCATCTCGTTATAAAACTTTCGTTGTTCTGGATCACCCAATGTCTCGCATATCTCTTTCATTAGACCATTGTCAAGAGGACCAGGGGCATAGGATAATGTGCGCACAGATGTCTACAAGGTTCCAATCCTATTAGCATGGCATGATTATCTCCAATGGCACACAACTCACGGGTTCATGTTCCTTGGCAACGACACCCAACAACATATCTCTGGCCGATTTGCCGGTTGCATAGAGACCCCAATTAGCAAAAGGCTGGACGCCCAACAAGGATGAAATGTTGACCAATGTGATAGGAGTCTTGGTGGGAAGGAATAATCGCAGGAATCCTGATCTATAAAGAAAAGGATATATTCATATAAGTCGTCTTGATAGATGAGAGGGGGTTGGTTTGTAAAGGGATATACGCCATCCATCCATGATGATGATGATGATGTACTACCTCCGTTGAATCCAGGGGGGAGGTGATGAATGAACACTTACACAAGAGTGGTATAAGAAACAAGATTGACATTGAAATAGGCCTGGATTTCCTCAGCTTCATAATCGGATACTTGCTTGGTCAAGTCGCCTGTGGATCCTGCATTATTGATCAACGTGGCTGAAGTCAATGGTGGGTCTTGCATATCCTATAGGATGACACCACCATGCATGCATTATCATTAGTACACGTGTATCTCTCTCACTCTCACACGCACTCACTTTACCTTGACAACGGCTTGGAGTGGCTCTAAAATGGTATCTCGAGTGGCGACTGCCGAGTCAATGGACGCATTGGCAATAACATGAGTCGCAATGTTGGAACCAAGTTGTTGAATGTCATTGGCTACTTGTTGCAATGGTGCTTCTTGACGACCCACGAGTACAAAAGAAAGTTTGTTGGATGTTGGCTGGTATTGTTTTGCGAGAACTTTTGTAATAGCTTGGCCAAAGCCGCGGTTAGCCCCTGTCACCACAAAAAGCGTATGCATGATATGTAAATGGAAGCGTGAGAAAGAGATAAAGAAAAGAAATGGATACGGTCACGGATTTATTCACTGCATGGATCGATACCTTGTATTACAAGCTAGATTCTGTACACACAATTATATAACTTATAAACGGCAAAAATTGCTTGCTATGTACGTCGACGAGGATTTCGAGTGGAAATGCTTGATGATGAAGATGAAGGAGGCATCACCTGCTTTGAGAGGTCCTTGATCTTTCCTAAAAGCTCGTTAACACTGGGAATCATGGTAGATGAATCTGTAGGGTATTGTTGTTGATGAGAAGGAGGATGTGGGGATGCAGGGGAGGGGGAAGGTGATGTGTGGTTATAGGTAGGTGTTGCTGTGAGAACAGGGCCATGATGGGGATGCTGAAGCATGGAAACGGGTGGTTGTTGTGGTTGTGGGTAGCCACCAAAAGAGGGATAATCCACAGATTGTGGTTGTGGTGGTTGTGGTGGGATACTTGAAGGAGAGCCATTGGCAGCAGCAGCAGCAGCAAGAGCTGATAATTGGGATGCCATTTGATGCAATACATTGCTAGGTGGGGTAGCAACAGCTCCTTGTTGGGATGGTTGTTGTTGTTGTTGCTGCTGCTGTTGTTGCTGTGACAACATCAAGGATGACAATGTTTGTTGGATGGATGCAAGTGTGGCATTGTGTTCTTGCATATTGATAGATTTCTGCGTACTTTGTTGTTGTTGGATTACTTGTTGCAATAAATGGATTGTATGATTAAGTGCTCCAATATCCAGGTTGTTGCTGTTTGCATGGGCAGATGGAGGTGGAGGTGGAGGTGCATTATGCATAGGGGCACCACTAGAAGGCTGCGGTGGAGGGATAATGCCATTACCATTACCATTACCATGTGCTGCCATAGGTGGTGGGGGATATTGTTGGAATGGAGAAGGGATACCAGCGGATGCTGTTGGTGGATGTAATCCATTCATGGGAGGTGGTGGTGCATGATGCAATGGTGGTGGTGGTGGCACTGGATGTTGATAAGGATAAGATGGTGGCATTGGATGTCGTTGTTGATGAGACACAAGAGAAAATGGTTGGTGAGGAGGGACACCAGGTGCGATGGGAGGTGGTTGATGCTGCTGAGCATAGAGATGAGAGGGAGTAGTAGACTCTTGGAGTGGGCTGGATTGGCCATTGGACTTTGAGAGTGATCGATGAACAATCAATAGGATGTCATTTAGACCAACATTTTCATATTCTATAGGCATACATTGTTAGCCAATCATGTAATACTTGCGCATAACACATCACACCCACACGTACCATCAAATCTAACATTGCTGTCTTTGGTATCGTCTGTACGCTCAAACACTTGAAGATCCGCAATATCCTTAAGTTCATATCCGGGTTCAATGACAATCACAGCTTGTACGCCTTTAACAATCATTCGTTTGACAGCCAAATCTTTGGAGGTGGTCTCAGGGTCATAGTAAACGGCTTGGGTGTCGATACCAAGATCTTCAACACATTGAAGCACGTGATCCAAATAAGAACGATCAGCATCGGTTGTGGCAAGGATTTGAACAATAGGGGCGGCTTCTTTTTCAGATGGGTGTTCATGACGATGACGATTCTTTTTGCTTTCACGGTGTTGTACATGGACTAATCGCTCGTTGTTGTCATCATTGTCACGGCGTCGTCGGTCTATGCCTCCTGGTCGGTTTCTACACACTTCAAGATCTAAAACATCCAATCATTAGTCCTTGTCATCTTTCCCATCCTTCTTCTCCTGTACATACAAAGTGTGTTGCCATGACAACGTCTTCCATTTTCACCACGTACGGCAGCCAAGCACGTGTCAGCATTGGTGAATTGAACAAAGCTGTAGGTGGGTTTGATAACGACCTCCAATACTTCGCCATAGCGACTGAAATGATCCTCAAGTTGGGTCTCAGTGATACGATGGGATGGCAATCGACGGCATATCAATCGCGTTTCAGGGTCAAGGTCTGCAGCATGGTTGCTAGGTTGGGAACGGGGATGATAACTGCGTGTATCCTGAGTACTGGTGGTTTGTCGACGATGCTTGTTGGGTGGGTCACAATGTCGATCAGGCGAGCGATCTCGCTTCCTACTCTTTGCTACGGGTGATGAAGATCCTGGGAAAAAGAAAAGAACCATACAATGCCTTGTAGGATTAGCATTGGGTACTTGGATCGTAACAGAGAAAGAGAAAAAGCTAATTTGCCTGCTGCTGTTTGAAATGATACATCGCTTGAAGTAGATTCACGTCGTCGCCTTGAATTTAAGTGACTCATGGTCTGACGAATAAATAAATGTTGGAGCTCAAAAAAAGAAGGAAAGAGGATGAGGAGGGAGGGAGTGGAGTGGAGGAAGTGGGTAAAGAAAGAGAGAACAAGAGTACATAGAGGGTGACTCTTTCTAAACGCGACCTGGATTAATTAGGCTTCTCCTATGCAACCAACCTTACATGATGGGCGGGCAGGGGTCTTCTTTTTCCCTGGCACTGGTGGCAGCAGTCTTTACTCTTGCTTGCTTGCTTGTGATGGATTAGTGCGTGCATAAAGGGGACACACACCATACGAATACGTACGTGAAAACTCTTGGCTCATGGGTCTCGTGTCCACCGTATAAACAAAAACCCCAATCACCATCTCCCTTTTGTTGAATGCCAAGCGCATGATCTACAACGTTTCATCATCACACGCTCCTTTTGATGTGTAAGAGTATCCCCCGACGCCCACACATGGAATACACAATGCATGCAGTGTACTATGTATGTATGAGATGGATGGTAAATTCAGCCACTTTGTCTCTTTATCCCAAGTACTTGGATATAAAAGTCAATCCTGAATTGAACTATTTCCACCCACACACCACTTTCCTTTACACAACAACAACAACAATGCCTCTTGTTCATTTGAGCCCCTACTGCCAACAACAAAATTGTCCTATCGCGGCTTCATCATCATCATCCACAACGCCACTCATGTCATCTTATTCAACACCAGCACCATCATCTTCTTCTTCCAACACATGTAGCGATCCAAACAATATGATTACACACACCACTATCTCGTTACGTAAAAGACGAATGCCTTGTCAACGAAGACGAAAAACTCATTATTGCTATGGTTGCGAAGCTAAGGTGTGGGTACACTTGCATAGTGACACGCTGGTTCCCATCTGTCATCGTTGTCTTGGTGCTTTTGTTGTAGCTATACGTGAAGGGGTATGTATGTCCTGCGTTGACTTTTTCATAGTAAGCTTTGATAAAAAGTAACTTACATACATTGGCTGTTATAGTCTTCTGCATCGGTACAAGCAGCTCCTGCATCGGCTCGTCATCATCATCGTCATCATCATCCACTTCCTACCCCTCCTACTCCACCAGCATCAGCGGCAACAACAACAACATCAACCAGTGTATCGCCAAACATCTGCACGCAAGGTAAAAGAATGCGTGTGAGTGTGAAAAATACCTTTTTACCAATGGATGCATCCTATATAGACCCATCATCCCATGTCTCCTTATTTGAACGGCTTGTGCATTGCTTTCCCATCAAAAGAACAACCACCGCCACAACCACTACTTGCCCTGTCCCACGCCCACTGGATTGTAAGCACTTTTTCATGCCCATTCATGACCACTCATTGGTGTATGCTAGATAATGACGTTTGTCCCATCTGCTATGATACCCTTGTTTCTCAACACGAACAACCTGTTCATCTTGCTCCGTGCATGCATACCTTTCACAGGGCATGTATTGAGCAGTGGATCTTAGGATACAAGACAACGTGTCCCTATTGGTAAGCAATGATTCATTTCTTGGTCGATCTACAACGACGACGACGCTCACCTCCTCTAATGTACATAGTTGCCAACCCACATCATTATCAAGGATCCAAGCCATCGATACCATGCATTAGATTTATCCCGTTGTGCATCTTTGTGTGTATATATATATCCTATTACCCACCAAAAAAAGAGAAATGTAAAACAATACCGACCCCCTCTATGGCAAATCGCTTGTCCCATTGCATTTTAAACTGGACCCTCCACCCTACATAATAGCTTATACCATGCACAAGATCCATCGCCGAGGAATTGAATGAGACACACACACACACGTTGCATATAGGGTGAGTAAAAGAAAAGAGGAAGTGAGAAAACAAAACATTGTTTTCCCTTTTTTTAATACGGTGAAGAGATAACAAAAACTAAAAGCCAGCAGTAGTCGTGGGAGGTGGTTGTAAAGGATGATCGTTTTCTTGTATTTGTGTCGTTGTGGTAGAAGCAGCAGCAGCAGCAATCAATGCTTCTTGTGGTTGTTGATCGGATGCAAGGATCGGGGTATAGTCTTCAATATGCGGTTGCTGTTGTTGTGGTTGTTGAGGCGGCTGCATCGATACATGGAATGATTCATTGGATACAAATGGATTTTGTTGTGCTTGTGGATGATCGGTATGCGAGGAAGTGGAAGAAGGAGGAGGAGGAGGAGGTACAGTGGTTGTTGTAGATGTTAGAGCAATCGGATGTTGTTGTAGAGTCACAGCCGTAGTAGTAGAAGTCGTAGTAGTAGTAGCAGTTGTGGTGGTAGTTGTAGTGTTTGTGGTGGTGGTGGTAGATGGTTGTTCCTCTTGGTCATGGTTGTTATGGACAAAGTTGAGAGGTGGCATCGTACCAGCGACGCCGCTATATCGTCGAAATTCGTTGGGTGTCTCATGCGTCTTTTCGTGCTTCTTGAGAGAACGAGCATGGTAATAGGCTTTTCCACATCCTTCCACAGGACAAATAAAAGGTCGTATATTGGAATGTGTCTTGATGTGCGTTGTCAGGGAATCGGGTCGTGAAAATCGCTTCTCGCATCCTATGTAAATGTATCGTTTGATGATGAGTTGAGGTGTTGCTTTACACGTGATTGACAACATTTATTACAAACCTGGTTTAGTACACACGTAAGGTCGTTCGCCTGTATGCGTTCGCAAATGATTGTACATTTTGTGGCGTTTGGTGAAAGGTTTTTGGTTGCGAGGACATCCTTCCCATTCACAGCAATACGTGGGCTAAATACTACAATTAATATCATACTCAAAGGACGCGCTACTATGATATTTACCTTGCCACTGCCCACATGAACATCACCAAGATGATCAATAAGTTGCTGTAATTTGTCGAATTTGGAACCACAATCCTTCCACCTGCAGATTACTTCTTGATGGACGGTTTCTTCATCATCCTCATCATCGTCCTCTTCCTCTTTTGTTGACGAAGGATTGTTGTCGTCATCTGGAAGGGGTTCATCCTCTTCTTTGATTGTGCCAACTTCTCTTGATGATGATGTCAATGTGATTGGCTTGCTTGCTGTTGAAGAGGAGGTGGACTCAGCATCACCACCACCATTGCCATAGCTACAACTTGGTCCACCGCCAACGCTGCCAGTGCCATCCTTGACACTCACAGACGGGCTACTACTTGATATAGATTCCCCTGATCGTTTTTCTTGTTCCAATTCCACCAATCTTGCAATGAGCTCTTCACGTGACATGGACTCATATTCTTTGGCTGATAAAGGAGCTCGTTCCACTGTTTGGCCACGACCCGGTGCTGATTGAATCTTTGACCACAGCTCAGCAGGTGAAGGGGGTGGTGGTAGTTGTAAAGTACCCAATGCACGTCGTTGTTGTATTTTTGTCAAGCGACGAATATTAGCATCATCAGAGCATGCAGATGGAGTTGTTGTTGTAGTAGTAGTACTACTACTGCTGCTATTGGGAACCACCGAAAAAGTCATTGGTGTGGCTGTCACATGTTGAGGTGCATTGTTGGTGGTGGTGGTAGTAGTAGAAGATGATGATGATGATTGTTGTTGAATCGATATTGAATGTGCTGGGTAAGAGGACATTGTATTGCGTCTCATCTTTTTGCGTATATGATCATTGTCTTGTTGTTGTTGTTGCATTGGATGCTTGTGACCTGACGAGGATGATGGTGGTGGTGGTTGATTGACTCGAATCAAAGCCATGGTTGTTGCATTATGTTGTTGTTCTTGACAAGAAGCTGGCATGACCAACCCACCAGCATTATTGTTCATTGTTGTCACCATGACAGGATGCAATGGATGATGTTGTTGCTGTTGCTGTGTGACGTTATCATGAGAATGTTGAGAATTCTGATCGATAGTATTTTGAGCGGCGGGGTGTTGTTGACCCAATAACATGGGATTCATTTGTGCAGCCGCAGCTGCAGCAGCCACAGCGGCCATCTGATGTGCATCCAATTGTGTGGTTGGCATCGTACTTGTTGTATGTTGTTGATCCACGGTCGATTGTTGCTGTGATTGTGGTTGTTGCTGTGCTACCGGTTGCTGTGCTGGTTGCTGTGATGGAGGTGCACTATTAATCATATCTTGAATGATTGGATGTGGTTCTTGTTGTTGCATTGGATGCTGTTGTCCCCCTTGAAATGATGATCGATGCTCACTTTGTCGTGATTGTTGATTAAAGGCAAGCATTACTTGATGCTGTGGATCAAGAGGTGAGCCCAATGGTGTCGTATGAGCACTGCCAGCTGGAGTCAAGATGTTCTGCTGTAACACAGAATCGATCAATGCAAGACCTGGATTGACGACGCTACCATTTTGCTGTTGCTCGTTCTATTGTATCCATTGTTAGCGGTATCCAATTCATATATAGCTTATGTACACTTGCCTGAATGACACTTGAATGGGTTGCCATGCCTCCATTGCTTGGCAATTGGGCTTCAGGGGCGATATTAGAAACAAGTGTTCCTTGTTGTTGTTGTTCATGCTGTTGCTGTTGCTGTGGGTGGTTGTGGTTATGGTGTTGTGCTAGGTTGGTTGGTTGCTGTTGTAGCTGTTGCTGCTGCTGCTGCATAGATAAGGACGCGATATCCGGATTTGGATGAGGATGTGGTTGCTGCGGGGCAGGTTCCTGAGAGGCAGCAGCCATGTTGACCGCGGTAAACGGCAATTGCTGTTCGTAATGTTGCTTAAGCATGTCACCATTGCCCTGAGGGCTGAAATGTATAAGAGAGAGAAGAGCTATAGGCTATACGTTACAGGCTATGTGTTGGTGAAAACGTGACGTTTTTTGCATGTGCGGAAAACCTTGATAGTGCTTAATGATGGCATAGATAGCCAGCAGGGCAGCATATTATACCACGAGCAGCGCCCGTAGCTCGTCGGGCTGTACTAAAAAGAAACACCGAGAAACACACCAGAAATGTATACACACACACACACACTCCTTTATTCATATATATAACAATCATGCTTGCCTATGACAATGTTATTCAATGGTATACTTGTGAGAATGTTACTGTGAACACGCATTTTATCAATCGGATCAATACATATCGGTATTCTTTGTTTGCTCATGTTTGGATTATCACAATAAAGATACACAAACACAACATGCTCCTTTAAACACAATCATAACAATGACCATTGCACATCGCCATGGTGGTCTCCCACATTCATGTCGATCGAGGCATTTTGTTGAAACATGCGTGCGTGCGTGTGTGTGTGTGCACCTTGTTTGTTTATAATTGGCGAGTAGTATCACCGAGTGGAATTGAGGCAGCACACAAATCCACTATTCCGTTTATGCTTTTTCTTGGCTACACAGACATCCCTGCTGTCTCCGCTCTTTTTCATCCCCAAAAGTGGATAGGGCATCGGGGGGCAATTGAAATGAGGCACACTACGACAACATCTACATCATCGTCGCTGCATTTGTTCAACAACCATTTCCATTGGCTTTGTTTAACATCTTCATCCACTATGTGTCAGAGTCATTTGATCTTCTCGGCATAGCATGTGCTACCTTTGCGAGAGAGAGGCGCAAAGAGTATGATCGCCATATGCAAAAGGGGGGTGGGTGTCTGGTGACATGTGCCAAACGACAAAAAGTCTATTCTCGATATACAAATGTATAAGAGTAGGCTGAGTGAAGAAGGTAAAAAAAGCATGACATGTATGCATGATCCTCATTCTCAGCAAAGGGACGCATATTATTTACACTTGCAGACCATTAGCGGATCATTCGTATTACACAACACGTCAACCACATTATCCCAGAATGAGCAAAGATTGCGGATGATGCACAAAAGCATGACATTTGTTACAGCTGCTGCTGCTACTGCTACTACTACTACTGCTGGTTTAAAAGATAAAGAAGTAACAAGATAAAAAAAAAGCGTTGCTCCTGTCCCTGAACGCCCCTTCTTTTTCTTTTTCTTTTACGATCATCATTTGCCACCACCACCACCACCATCATCATCATCATCTCTCTACTTAATCACCCCTGATTTATTTCGCGTATACACATACAGCACACACTTTTATACATTTGTTCTTTTTCTCTCTCTTTTGTGATGGATCCGCTTGATGAATCGCCAACAACTCCTCTTCCTGGAACACCACCATCACCTGGCACCGAAAGGTCACCAACACTGGTAGAGTTCCCAGCACCCAACTTTGGATCGTCCAAACCCGGTTCCCATGACGGTGGCAAGAATGCAGCTACTCCTGATCGCGTGGTGGTGAAGCAGCAGCAATTCAATGTCGACATTAGCAAGGCGGATCAGAAGGCGATTGCGACGACGCTTGCAGCAGCACTTGAGGAGACGATGCGCAATGGAGATATATCATCTGACAATGTAAAAAAGAGCAGCAGCTGGTGGACCCGATTGTTACCCAAAAAGTTGAGGGATGCAGGATGGCTGATTATACCCAATCAAGAGTATTGCGAAGAGTGGTGTCAGCATGCAGGCATGATCATGTTTTCAGTGATATCGACATGGATGGTGACCAAGATGGGAGGGGGACTTCCAGGCTGTTTGATCGTGGGTGGCATACTCGGTAAATGTTTATTATAATGCAACACAACTTGACACACATACACTGACATTAAACTTTATTCAGTAACCTGTTACAGACGATCTTTACGACGCCTCAAACGCAATGCAAAAAGCGACTTGGAACACGCCATGATTGAACAACGCATGTTGACCGATTTCAGTGAAACGGCCGATTGGCTTAATCACTTTGTACAGCGCTTTTGGCTTATTTATGAACCTATTCTCTCGGCTCAAATCATCGGCATTGCCGATGCTATTCTTATTGAATCCACTCCTTCCTTTTTGGACTCGATCCGTTTATCCCAATTTACACTCGGCAACCGACCCTTCCGGATTGACAGCATAAAGACTTACCCCCGTACTGAGCCCAATGTTGTGGTACGTAAACCAATGCATATCATATCATGTTGTACGCCTACCTCACCCACCCCCTCATCATTATAGTGCATGGATTGGGATATCTCATTCACTCCCACCAATGTCCTCGATATGACTCAGCGTGATCTCAAGGCCCATGTGCGTCCCAAGATTGTACTCACCATTCGCGTCGGCAAAGGTCTTCTTGGTGCAGGCATGCCCGTCCTATTGGAAGATTTATCATTCAAGGGAAAGCTACGTTTGACATTGACCTTGTCAAAAAAATTCCCACACATCAAGACGGTTGAAGCATCGTTCCTGGAAAAGCCTCATTTTGATTATGCACTCAAACCTGTCGGAGGTGAAACCTTTGGCTTTGATATCAACAATGTAAGTCATCTTGTATTGTAATGTAATATACGGATGATGGGTTGGTGTGAGAGAAAAAAAAGAGCCTTATGCATGTGTGTTATTAGATCCCGGGACTGCAAACATTTGTGCAAGAACAAGTTCATGCAACTCTAGGACCAATGATGTACGCTCCCAATGTATACAAGTTGGATGTGGCGGGAATGATGGCCGGCACCACCGATATCCACTCAGCCAATGGTGTCCTGGTCATGACCATCTACAATGCAACCAATCTCAAGGAGGTCGACTTGTTTGGCACCATTGATCCATACATCACTTTCCATGTTGGCAATACTCGTAATGCTGAACTTGCACGCACGTCCATGTACCATGATACGAGCAATCCACGATGGAATGAGACCCACTTTATCTTATTGAACAACCTTGATGACACGCTCTATCTCCAAGTCATGGATTACAATTCTGGTTTTCGTGATTCACAAATTGGTGTTGCTGAATTTGATTTGACTGAGGTGGAGAATGCAGCACGCAAAGCTGTACAAGGATTGCAATTGACCGTGCTACGTGGTGGAAGACCTGTTGGTCAAGTGGCATGCGACATGCGTTATTTCAGTGTCTCACGCCCTGTGCATGATGCCGATGGTGCTGTTACGATGCCAGCTGCTGATTCAAATAGCGGCGTGTTACAACTCACTGTGAATGAATGCAGTGGCCTTGCAGGCGATTACGTCAATGCCTCTACTATTGTACGTGTCAATGGACGTGAAAGGATGCGCACAGCGGTGTTCAAGCGTAGCAGCCACCCACGTTGGAACAAATCCGTTGAGATTTTTGTGGCCGATCGTACAAAGATGGAATTATCAGTGACGGTGGTGGATAACAAGGAATTCGCTGATGATGAAGTAATTGGTCGTTGGAGAATGATGCTTGAAGATTTGCTGCAACAAGTCCCAATGGGTGTTGGATGGTGGGGTCTTAAGGATGGTCCAGGCCATATCAACCTATCAGCTACTTGGAAGCCCATTGTCATGGCAGACATGTTTGCCACCCCAGCCATGCCTTCAGGTCAACAACGAAATCCTATTGGTGTGGCACGATTGCATATTCATGCAGCACGTGAATTGGTCAATGTGGAAGCAGTGGGCAAATCCGATCCTTATGTACGCGTTCTCTCTGGCACACAAGTACGCGCACAAACCGAATATCGTGATGATGATTTGGATCCTGAATGGGACACCACCTTATATGTGCCCGTGCATTCCATTTATGAAAACTTGGTGCTTGAAGTCATGGATTTCAATAGCATCACCAGTGACGTATCCATGGGCTTATACGATTTGTCTCTCAAGCGCATTGTCAAGGAACATGCTATGGCGGATGGTCAAACGTATCATGAAGCATGTGGCGTCTTCGATGAATGGGTGGATCTCAGCAGCCCTGATCGTACAGTGGAAAATGACATGGGCCAATTACACATTACAGCTTCCTTTATCCCTGTAATGCAAACACGTACCATTAACACCACCAATGATGAAGACGAGCAAGTTGTGGTGGTACAACCTCCCAAAGATCTCCATGGTGAACGCATCAAGTATACGACTATTCAGGATGAGGGTGACCAACAACAAGTGGATTTGATGGCATATGAATCAGGCGTCTTGTGTGTCACTGTGAATGAAGTCAAGCTTCCAGAACCCATCAAAGCCAAGGTTGATCTTTTATTGGATTCGAATGACCCACAATTTACTACCACTGAACGCAAGGCGGGTCAACTTTTCTTTAATGAAACAGGCGATGCATTCGTTAAAGAGCTTGACTTTTCAAAGTTGATGGTGCGTGTGCGTCCTGGTCGTGGTGAAAAGGTGGATGGTGGCCTTGGATACTACAACATTGCTGTGCGTGAAATTGTGCGTCGCATCATGGCTGGCAACGGTGACCAACAAGCGTTTGATCTTATTGATGGCAATGGTGGTTCGGTTACATTGAGCTTCAAGTTTATTCCTGTTGTCCATTTTAAATTGGATGCTAAGGAAAGCTTAGAAAGTAAGTGTGTGTTTGTGGTCTATGTGCGTCACATCAAGGCATTTTATTCACTCATCCTCTTAATAATAGATCAAGGCAACCTCACTGTCACCGTACTATCAGCATCCAATTTACCAGCTGTTGACCGATCTGGCACCAGTGATCCATTTGTCGTGTTTTACTTGGATGGTCAAAAAGTACACAAGACCGAAGTTTACAAGAAGCAACTTGATCCTAAATTCAAGGACGAGGTGTTTACTGTTCCTGTGGTATGTGCACTACCAAACATTGACGCAGATGATATTAACGATTACTTTTATGCAGCCCAACCGCATCGATGCTAAACTAACGGCCGAGGTATATGATTGGGACCAATTTGGTAAAGATCGCATGATGTGCGAATGCGAGATCCTTTTCGGTGCCAATGACCTCGAAAGCTTTGCTGCAAGAAACCTTTCGTTCAAAATGAAGGACCATCCACAATCATCACTCAAAGCTCGTTTACTATGGCAGCCCCAATTATTGGCACGCAAGCGTACTGGTAGTCAGCTATTGTTCAATGCTACTACACGCATGTTTACCTCAGCACCTGGTGCTGTCTTTGGTGTTGGTAAAGACGTCTTTGGCCACAGCATGTCAGCTATCAAACGATTTAGCACCAATGCAAGCTCGATCAGCACAAAGATTATGGAGGAAAGTGAACCTCTTGAATCGCTTCAAGGCACAGGTGAGTTGATTGATCAGCCACACACACGTCTTTTATTGACATTGGGATATGATACATAGCTGCACTCCAAGTGACATTGGTGAGCGCACGACGACTCAAGGCAATGGATCGATCGGGTACAAGTGATCCTTACGCTCGTGTTTCGCTTGATGATAAAGTTATCCACAAGACACGATCCATGAAAAAGACATTGCATCCAGAATGGTACGTATGAGATGAGATGAGAAAAACGGTCGCTCACTATCATTGACGCCTCCATTGTATGTAGGAATGAAAACTTGCGTACGAGAATCATCAATGACAGCAGCAAGCCCGCCATGCTCGAAATCAAAGTCAGGGATTGGAATACTTTTACGGATGTAGATATTGGCGAGTGTACTTTTAACGTATGGGATCTGATCCAGAATGACGCCTTATTCTACGATGGATGGCTTCCACTGCAACCTGAAGGCACAGGCGAAATCCATATCCGTGTACGATTGATGCAATGATAACGCTATCTACTCCAATCATTCACGTTGTTTTCTTTATGTCCATACAATGATACCAACATCCATTAAAACAATGCAATCATTTTTATTATGTGTGATGTGAAGATTTTATGTAGATGTAATTGCCAAAAGATTGGAAGTTCATTATAGCATCATTGCACACAGCAGATATCAATATAGTGGAAGTTTGCGAGCGAAGCAAGTGGCTGGCCGCTAGTTTAATGTTATGTGGAGTGCGGATATAGACAAAGCAAAGGTTCAGATTCGGGATAAGATGACTGGGAAATGAAAACGTGTGCTGCTAGTCTGACACATCGAAAGCCTGGATGTTTACGTGGATGCTGAATCAAGTGGTATATGCAATTCTTCAATATTGTGCTATAATGTAGATGGGAGCCACGTTACTATCCTCACTGGAAGCACGTAATCGATTATACCTACCAAGCACTCATATGAGTTGATGCACTCCAAAACCTGAAACGATGGTCGTTATGAGATGCTTTGCTGTCTCTCTGATCTTGAGATACGCCAGCAATACTATAGCCGAATGGTTTCCATTAGTACCTTTCAAAATGCAATAATACCTTCCTGGATCCATCAACAATATCCGGATTGGTCACCGATAGGAGAAGCGAGTAGAAGGGGAAGGATAAAGAAAACGGAAAAGACAAAGAGTAAGAACAAGAAAAATGGAAAAAAGAAAAGTAGAAACGTCATCCGAGCACTCATGAGAGGGACATCTCGCTAGGGCGATACCAACGAGGCCATCGAGCACCACAGGCAACTCTTGAGCACCCATGAGAGGGACATCTCGCTAGGGCGACACCAACGAGGCCATCGAGCACAACAAGAACGAAGCTGGAAAAGGGAATGGAGGCAAATACTGTGACGCTTCCTTCCTCTTCTTTTACCACCAAATTGCTGCGCATCTGAGCGTGAAATTCTCGTGCTGCATATAGCATTGTATGCATGAGTGCTTCTTGCCCGCTTACACTTAGCAATGACAGACTTCGCCATCAAGCATAAAGAAGGTAAACTTGAAAGCTATTTATATTGATATGATGATCTAATATACTATTCTAATATACTATAGTCATTTGTCCCGCCATTGAAGAGCTGAAACGAGTACGAGTAGGAATGATGACGGAGGACGACTACGACGATGGTGGTGGCAATGTACAGTACATAGCAAGATAGCTAGATGAAATAAAGCATTGTTTATTTGTTACACGCTTGTTGGAGGTTGCTAGCTTGTGGATTACATACTATTGCTTCGAAGATGGAATAATAAAGGTGGTCCGGTTATCGGTCATGCAAGAAGTACATGGCTTTTGTGATACATAAGCAGGAGTGGGAAGTGGGATGACCTTGAGAAGAGAAAAAGTGAAGAAATCCCTCCATTGAGTTTCAGGATGAGTGACTCATTCAATATGTATACGTATCTTTTTACATATACAAATTGGTTTATGCAGCTCGACTTTCTTCTACATGCAAATGTGATACATATCTCGACACAACTTCATTATTGGATGCTGTTTTACTTACGTACCTTCACAAAAGGCAATCATCATCATCATCCATTTGTGTAGCAACCTGTCAAGGACGTGTCTGTGTAACCGCCACGTGCCGTTTCACTCAGCTCTTCATCTTGCCGTTAATGCAGCCGACACCATCCACTAGGAAAAAGCAACTCCATCGCGCTTACAGCATAGTGAAAACATAAAAACAGCCATATCTCAAGATTTCACAATGAAACGTGGGGTTTTGAATAGAGCAATGGACTCGGCTTGGCCAACAGCACCTTGTGTGAAAGTTTCGCGTTCAATGTCGTAAACAGCCCAAAAAATATTTGTTTGGTCGTCGTCGTCGAAGAGGTCGACCC